AAGCCATAACGCTGAGATTTCATCTCACTCCAGAAAGAATAATTATCAAGAATCAACAAATAACAAATACTGGCGAAGCTGCAGGTGTAAAAGACCTTTCTTCATTATTGGTGGCAATGTAGATGTGCAATAATTAAGGAAATCAGTATGGAGATTCCCTAAAAACCTAAAGATAGAAATTTCATTTGACCTAGCTATTCCCCTTCTTGGTATCTTTCAGAATATCACAATGATGTGTTCATATCCATGTTTATAGCAGCACAATTCATAATAGCTAAATCTGGGCTGGCCAGACAGCTCAGCCAACTAAAGCACCTGCTTAGGCACAACACAGCTGCCATGCTGCTCCCACCCCTGGAGCATGCTGAGACAGTGATTGAGACTGTGTGTGGTGATGCATGCCTGTAATCCCAGCACCTGGGAAGCTGAAAACAGGAGAATCATTACATCCGATCTATGTAGTGAGACCTTGTAGACCCTGTACTAAACATAATTTTAAAAAAAAAAAGCTTGCTAAATCTTGCAAGCAGCCTGTATGACCTCAAAAGATGATGGGTAGAGAACACATGGTATTTACACACAATGGAATACTCTGTCATATAAATGCATAAACTTGGGGCTGGTGAGATGGCTCAGTGGTCTAAAGCACCTACTTAGAACAAGCTAAGCCAAGCAAAGCACAGGGACCGCGGGTCAATCCCCCAGCACCACATGCCAGCCAGCCCTGCCCCCTGGTGGGCTGAGCTGGCCACACACAAAATAAATAAATAAAATTTAAAATAAATAAATAAATAAATAAATAAAATAAATGCATAAACTTCAGTCATTTATAGCGAAATGTATGCATGTTGAAACCACAATATTAAGTGAAGTATATTAAATGTGTAGGCTTGAGTACTGCATGGTTTCCTTATACGAGAAGCCCAATGTATAAATGAAGTGCAAAGTAAAAGACAAACAGTAGGAAAAAAGAATAGACAAAGTGTTATTGCAATTCAGCATAAACAATATATCTAAAAGTTTCCTATGTTTTAGTATAATTGTCTAATTTTTGTATTTTTCATCCGTTAATCAGGCTGCAATCTGTATTTATAATAACTTGGTATAGACTTATAAAATAGATAAATGAATCTGATACTATTAATTTTAAAGGGTTGGAGAGAAAAGAATTGTTGTAATGTACATGTGCCAATTCCCCCGCAATGTACTGCAAATATGTACTAATAAAGATTAAAATTTTTTAAAATGCACACCACCAAGGCCAGCATGCCCTGTTTAAGTATAAATGTTTGGAACTGTTAATCCCAACCAATCCAGAAGTAAATATTACCTTTTCTTATGGATTGTCCTCCCATCCCAAAGCTTTCCCAGAGTCATTGTTATAATTTCTCTCTTAGCTGTAGGTAATGTGTAACCAAATACATTGGGTTTGCCCTAAGTAAATGCAAAGCCAGTAATTACCTCAAGAAGTAAAACAGTGGGGAAAAAAAAAAAAAAAAAAGATTATTATTTACAAATAGGAAGAGCATTGCCAGAGCAGCTTGTCTTTCTGCATAAAGATAGCAAGAGGTGTTCATTGAGGGAACATGAATATCCTGTCTTAGTCTTTTTTTTTTTTTTTTGGTGTGCTATGCATACGATTGAATTCAATTTTTTTTTTTTTTTTCTGGAACAAAATACCTGACATCCACAAGTTAAAAAAGAGGAGGTTTATTTTGGCTCACAGTTTGTAGAAGTTTTAGTCCACATTTGACTGTTTCCAAGGCAGGGCACCATGGTAACATGGCAGTATGGCAGGGAAGTTTAGCAGAACAAAAATATTTCATGACATGGCAGCTGGGAAGCAGTGCACCCTTTCTTCTTGTCCTTTTTCTCCCATCCAGGCTACAAACCTATTGGTTGGTGCCACCCACATCCATGGTGGGTCTTCCCCCTTCAGTAAATCTATCATTCACACCCAGAGCTAGTCTACACCAGGCAGGTGACTAATCTGGTATTATACACTAGTGATCCAGGCACTGCCCAAAAACTACAGGCATAGTTCATAGCTCATGGCTCATAGCTCTAGAGGACATAAAAGCCGTAACATATGCATATAGAAAAGTGTTGACTTCACATGTAGAGGTGGGCAACAAAAGGCTAGATCTTAGGAGGCAGGAAAAAAGAAACTGCTTTCCAGACAATGTCTGGAATTTCTTTCAGTGTCGGCATTTCTTTTATTCACCAGCCTTAACTTCTTCAGTGGTACAGAAAAGGAACTATCAGTAGGGAATCCTTCATTGATTTAACCCACATTTCTTCAGCTCCCATACTGTTCCTGGTACAACATTGAATCAATAATGTGAGCTCTTAAGAGGCTGAGAGATACCAAGACTGCTTGTAGGGACAGGCAGGTAACTTGCAGATAAGTTAGCCTTCTTTTTTTGTAACTGAGACTCTTAATTTAAAATACCCAGCTGGTCAGAAAAAAAAAAAAAGCACATGATGGGTGAGAAGGGGATTTAGTTTCTTGTTTGCTCATCCTTGAGGCAGAGGAGGAAAGGAAGAGGAAGAGGAAGAAGAGGGAAAGGAAGAAGGAGGATAGGAAGAAAAAGGAGGAAGATAAGGAGAAATATTCCACTTAACATGATAAAGGTTGAATTATACTGAGATAAGCAAAGAATGATAGGGCTTGACGGGAGAAAAATTGAATGCAGTAGCATTTTGAGGCACTTATAAATGAAGTCAGAAGGCATTGTGGAATCAGAATGCAGCCATGTCATGTCTGAATCTTTGACTGGGCTGCAGACATATCCATCTTCAGATGCAAGCTGACCTTTGGACTGGATCAAGCCCCAAATCCCCGAAACATTATTTAGCAACCTCTATTGACCTTCTGTAAAAGGGCTACCTTCCTACAAATTTCTCAGAAACTGATATTGTAGCCAGTCCCTTCCTACCATGAAAGCTCAACTTTTGCCAGCAGCAATAATAATTCCTGACTAACAAGGGATGTAATTTCAAACCCAGCTGATAGAAGAGCTCAGGGGTGTATGTAGCTAGTGGTAGAAAGTTACAGATAAAAGCACCATCCTAGAGCACTTATTCTGGGTATCTAGTCAAGTATCTGTCACTGTAGCAAAACATCTGAGAAAATAAACTTGAAGAAAGAATGATTTTGACTCTCAGTTTTAGTGGCTTTGGTCTCTGGTCACTTAGATTCATTCATTGTTTTGGGGCTTGGGGTGAAGCAGAACATCACAGCTGTGAACTCAGGATGGAGCAAAGTTGCATGGCAGCTAAGGATCAGACAGCGAAGAAGAGGCAGCAGTCTCAACACACCCTTCATAGGCAATGCCCAGTGACCTGCCTCCTGTAATTAGGCCCTGCCTCTTAGAGTTTCCATCACCTTCCACAAGTACCAATAGCTGGAGACAGTCCTTCAGTGCAGAGGACTTTGAGGATATTCCAGATACAAACTATAACATGGGATAACCAGAATACATGTTTCCCTAGATGGCCTTCCTCATTTGGGCTGGAGTAAATTCTTTGTTTCCATCTTTGGTGTGCTTCACCTTGGATTTTAGATTGATGGCTTATATGAGAGATGCATCCCGCAGAGCCTGGGAGCAGGCAGCTCAGGTGGGATGAGGCGCTTGCTAGGCAGTCTTCCATTGTGTACTTAGGTTAGGGTCTTAATGAGAGGATAACTAGGAGAAGCGGGTTTGGGAAACAGTGTAGTGTGTGCAATTTCACAGGTACATAAGATGTAAATAAGATAAAGGCTAGAAGTTGGAAAATAAAGCTCTCTAAATTATTAAGAAAGCAACAATTTCTCTCTAGTAACACTGTAAGCTGCTTGAATGTCCCGAACCAGCGGGTCAATCAAGGAAGGTCACCTAGGGGAGGAGCGGGGAATTGAAGAGGGGACAAAGGACAGGAGACGCGAGAAATGAGGACAAGACAGGATTCTGATCAAGTCCCGTTTATTTAGGGGAGGTGCTGGGTGTATATATAATGGAGGAATAGGGAAATGACGTGGGCGGGTAAAAGGAGTAACTAGGCAACCCCGACTATGACAGGAAGTCCCACCTCTGGGGCATAGCAGGAGACTTAAGGGAAATGGGCGGGGTGAGGACCATAATCTTAACTCAGCAGGGGAATAGAATGGATACCAGTTAATGGCCTCCTACAGATCCCCCTTTACTTTTATATATGTATATAAAATATGTTTTTTTAGATGGCTGATTCCCTTGAGGGGGCAGTGCCTGTCTTAGGTCGAGGCATCCTCTACACGGACCCGACTCAAACCTTACCCGTCATAGGAGACCAGTACAGCAGAAGGTCCTGTTCCTGTCTTAGGCAGCGAGTGGTGTCTCGGGTATGCCCCTCATTACCTGTCTCTGGCTAGCCTGACCATCTCACCAAGGGTGGGATAACTAAGAGGTCTCTGGACCTTCATCATCATAAGCTGGTTGTATTCCAGCACAGTTTTCCCTTTCAGCCATCTCAAGCCGGTGATAATGAACCTGCACAGGTTTCATTTTAATGGCATCCAATTGTTGTTTAATGAAAGTCAGCCTATTGAAAAGACAGAGTCCTATTGATAAAAATATTAATAGATCATCAAAAAAGGAAAAAAAAGGAACAGCTGTTCATTGAAAGACACACAAACACATAGACACAGACACATAAACACACAGACACATAAACCTCTTAAAAAAAAAATTAAGAGTGCACTCAAATATTTGGCCAAATTAAATTATAGCAACTATATTACAAGCTTTAGAAATTTTATAAGTAGACTAGTCAGATTTTGTTATTTGTCAATTATTAGAGATCTCTTATTAGAAAAACTTGGAAGGAAATCTTTCTATAATTAATATGCATATTTTGTATTTTTATGCTTTTGTCACCTATTTAGACCTTAGATTTCCATTTAGTCAGTTTCTTGAATAGGCTCCAGGGTGGATGTAGCCTGGTTGCTGTTAACTTTTTTTTTTTTTTTTTTTTTTTTTTCAGGCAAGGAGTGCTTTATTCTCACCATAGTAGAGGACAATAAAGGGCTTTGGTAGCAGCAGTAGTGCCCCCTCCCCATCCCAGCACTCTCTTCCTTGGCCCTGGCTGGACACCAAGCAGCAGTAGCAGCAGCAGGTTATAGGGGACAGGGGTGGGGTGTTAGTCTGCTGGCTGGTGCCCATGCCCGTGGAGGGTGTGCCTAGGGCCCCAATCATCAGCCAGGGACACGTGAAGGGGCTCATTCGGCAGTGAAGATGCGACTGGAGATGTCATCCAGGAGCCAGTCGATGCCCTGTAGCAGGTTCTCCCCAGTGACAGCGCTGCAGCCCTGGATGCACCAGTGGTGACTGCGGATGGAATCCAACTCCAGGGCCTCTTGAATGGCATTAGAGGAAAGCGCTCCTGGCAAGTCCTGCTTGTTGGCGAAGATGAAGAGGGTGGCTCCAGCCAGGCGCTCCTCCACAAGCAGGCCCTGCAACTCCCTCGCACAGTCTTGCAGGCGCTTCCGGTCAGCACTGTCCACCACCCAGATGAGGCCATCAGTGCTCTCAAAATAGTTCCGCCAGTAGGAGCGCAGTGACTTCTGGCCACCCACGTCCCAGACGTTCAATTTGAACCCTCGGTGCTCCAGGGTCTTGATGTTGAAGCCAAGCGTTGGAGAGATGGTGTCCACATCTTCCCCATTGAACTTCTTGAGAATTGTGGTTTTGCCAGCATTGTCCAGGCCAAGCATGAGCATTCTCAGTTCCCGTTCTTTCTGCGTCATCTTCTTCAGGATGGTCAAAAGGCCCATGGTCCTGCCGCCCCCTCCCAGCCGTCGTTTCCTTTCTAACTTCTTCTTTAGATCTGGCTCCATGGTATAGCCTGACAGTACACTCTGGTACCCAAATAGGTCAGTTAGCATTCTCTGGAAAAACACAAGCATACCCTTTGCCCCAGGTTAGTTGTGGACTGAGTCCCTTGTCATTGTCCAGTATAGAGAGCTCTCCAAAGGACCTTTTTTAGCCCTTTTTCTCTTACTTGGTTTGTCTTTCTGTTGCTGTAAAAGTATAAAAATGTAATAGTGTATATTGACAAGTGAAGATGTCAGGATTGACTCTCTTTTGCTTTAACAGAATTTTGATCCTACAGTGGCCTTTGGAGGCCATGATTAGGCCTTTTATTATTTAAATGAATGTCAAATCAAGTGACTGTTTAAAACCATGGCAATATCAAAGCCTTATTTTAATGCCATGTTTAATTTAGGACAGTAAAACAAGCAATCAAACTTATTAGGAATTAAAAGAATTTTAAGTAGTCTTAAAATATGTAGGGCGGTGACCTTTCACCTTGGTAGTGCTCTACCTGGAGGCCACCAACATTTGCATTTGAAAAGCCATTAAAATGTTTTTCCTTTAATTTTTATTTTCTAAC